AAAAGCAAAAAAGGGATCAGCGGGATTCCATTTTGCTCACTCGTCTCCCAAAAGGCAAGGCCTGTGGTTCACTCCAAAGACGGCTTTCTAAGACACTATCTTAGAGAGTTCTCTGAGAACAAGACAAAAACAGGTTTCCTGAACAGTGTGGCTTCTCTCTTGATGAAGTTATTCCCTTGGTCCTGTAAACTTTAGTAGAGACAATGTTTTTCATCTCCTCTCCAGTTTTACCACAAATTTACTTAATGTCCTAGATCCAAATAGAACTTTAATACTCACACAAACACCTTGGAGCCCCACGGATTCTTCTTAAGAGCCAGGTCCTCAACACACTGGAAAACAGTCCCTGGCTCACTTCTGGTCTCATACTAACAGTAGCGTAAGTGCTACATGATTAAATCAACTCCTTGTGATAACTGATTACAAACCAATAGCCACAGCAAATTCAAGAACATCACTGTCAGCTCGTATTATAAATACCATTTTTTATAGTGAAAATCAGCAAGGTTTGGGGAAGAAAATACTCCTGAACCACCTAAAAGATTTTTTTTTTTTAAAACCAAAAATGTGTTTCTTATAAACTGAAAATACTGCCTTCCTAGCAAAGCTGTTGTTTCCTATCAGGCCTCAGCTCTCTTTCATCATATTGGAGGCAAAGGTCATCCAAATCACCTTAAAAGTCAAACTACTCAGTTTGAAATGACATAAACAGTACTTATCCTTTTTAGGCTTAGGTCTCTATACAGTTTCACCCTTAATATAGATAATTCTGAATTCTAATTCCTACAGGTTGATCTCTCAATGAATTCTACAGTACATAGTTTTTTGGGAGTTGCTGGTTTCTTTGCTGGGATGGCTGTCCTTGCTGGACCACCTATAGCAGGTAACAGCTTTGCCACTTTCTAAGCAAATTTTAATATCAAAAAAACAAAGTAATGATCCAGGATTCATGGTAACATGTGATAACAGTATTAGGCTAAAAGAAATTAGTATTTCTGCTTTTCCTGTACCTACTTTCTTCCATCACCAGTACAGGAAGATGTGAAAGTTAATTCAATGGTTGTGCCAGAGTTTTATTAGAATTTCAAAAACCCATTATGTTTTAAAAAAGAAAAAGAACCTCGGGGGTTCATAATTTTACCTAAACAGGAACCACTTTTAAAGACTTTGAAAGCTGCAAGCCTGGTGCTTTTGTTCTTCTCATGTGCCAAGCAGCTATCCAGTATCTATTCTTTTCAAAGAGGAATAAAGGCCCTTCACTTTCTATCTGCACTAATGGTGGGAGGATACCTGACCTAAAGGCTAGAATCTGCAGAGAGGATATTCGGGGTCACTGGAAAACATCATATACAAGTACAGTAAATGTATGGGGAGTTCTGATTATGTAAGTTAATCTTAAGACTGAAGTGTAGTTTCACATTCACCTTTTACCTAATTGGATACTTTGTCCTTGCTAAACATTTAATCCAATACTATTAAAAACTTGCTACCCAACACAAAAATATTTCTAGAGAACAGGCATAATTTTTAGTTTCCTACACTGCATACATCCTCAATATATTTAAGTGTACCACTTACTACAGCAATTTCCACAAACAGGAAATTAACCTAAAACGTACTTTTGCTCCTTTTAGTCAGTGAGACAGAAAAGGGATCTGATCTTGCCCCTCTATCATTTTTTACAAGCTAAGGTTTATAATAATGTTAAATTTATAATTCCTTTTTTTTTTTCTTTGAGACACAGACTTAAGCTGTCACCCTGGGTAGAGTGCCATGGCATCACAGCAATCTCAAACTCTTGGGCCTCAATCCTCTTGCCTCAGCCTACCAAGTAGCTGGGCCTACAGGCAACCTCCACAATGCCCAGTTATTTTTTGGTTATAGTTGTCACCGTTGTTAGGCAGGGCAGGTTTGATTTGAACCCACCAGCTCCAGTGTATGTGGCTGGGGACCTAGCTGCTTGAGCTACAGGTGCTGAGCCAAATTTACAAGAATTATTATTGAGAAGAAAAGACTTCACTATTTGAGATTATTTTTATTTTTATTTATATATTTATGTATTTATTTAGAGACAGAATCTATGTTGCCCTTGGTAGAGTGCCATGGCGTCACAGCTCACAGCAACCTCTAACTCTTGGGCTTAAGCGGTTCTCTTGTCTCAGCCTCCCAAGTAGCTGGGACCTCAGGCACCGTCTGCCATAACACCCGACTATTTTTTGTTGCAGTTGTCACTGTCATTACTGGCCCAGGCTGGGTTTAAACCTGTTATCTTTGGTGTATGTGGCTGGCAGCGAGCCTATTTTTTTTTTCTTTCTTTTTTTGAGACAGAGTTTTAATATGTTGCCCCTTGGTAGAGTGGCATCACAGATCACAGCAACCTCAACTCTTGGGCTTAAATGATTCTCTTGCCTCAGCCTCTCAAGTAGCTGAGACTATAGGCGCCTGCCACAACACCCAACTATATTCTTGTTGCAGTTGTCATTGTTGTTTAGCAGGCCCAGGCCAAGTTCCAACCCACCAGCCTCAGTGTATGGGGTTGGCACCCTAACCAATGAGCTACGGGTGCCAATCCTGAGATTCAATTTAGACATACTTATTCTTCTTTTTTTTTTTTTGAGACAGAGCCTCAAGCTATCCCCTGGGTAGAGTGCCGTAGCATCACAGCTCACAGCAACCTCCAACTCCTGGGCTTAAGTGAGTCTCCTGCCTTTGCCTCCCAAGTAGCTGGGACCAGAGGCGCCCAACACAGCGCCCTGCTATTTTTTGGTTGCAGCCGCCATTGTTGTTTTGGCGGGCCCGGGCTGGATTCGAACCCGCCACCTTAGGTGTATGCTGTTGGTGCCTTAGACACTTGAGCCACAGGTGCCGAGCCAAGACATACTTATTCTAAAGGAAAAATTTATACAAATATCCAACTGACTTATTTGCTCTTCCCACGTTGTCTTAAATTGTCTCTTAGCCTATACTTCAGAGCTGTGGAAAGCAGAATATAATTTTAAAGTCAGGCCCAGAATTGTTACGTGGGACTGGAAAAAGGAGGTCAAATACCAGAGGGAGCTAGCAGAGTACCCACAACAATGAGATACAAAAGAGCTCAAGTATAATCTGCTGATGCATTTTTTTCAATCCAATTCTTCTTCACTAGCTGTCCCAATGGTGCTTTGGCACTTTTCAAGCCTATTAGGCCAAAAAAAAAAAAATATATATATATATATATATGTATATATATGTATATATATGTATGTAGGGGGAGAGAGACAGAGTTAAGTAATAAATACCAGAGCATAGAATATCTTATTCAAATGATAATGACAAATAACAAAACTATAACATGTTTAATATTCTTTATGTTTTTGTATACTTCTTAAAATATTTAAAGAGTTCAACATATGAGAAGACAGGCAATTTTTGTAAGGACCATTACCTGAAAAGATAAAGCTATAGCTGTGTATGTAAGTTCTGAAATCAATTTTGGGGGGGCATGATCTTTTGTATTTATTTATTTTTAACAAAAAGGATAGACTACAATAGAGCAGATTAGAAAACAGAATATATCACTTTATTGTGAAGGTTTTATTTCATACACACACCCCTGTGTAAAGTAAAGACATAATATATTTCCCTCAATTAAAAAAAAGTTTACAAGCCTTTATTGCCCGAGTCCAAAATACCCAAGCACTATATGTGAAAATAAAGAAAACTCATGAAAAATGTTTTTTACCCACTAATTCTGAGAATATTACTTAGGCAATCATACATTTTATAAGTTCTACGAAGAAGTTAAAGGAAGTAATAAGGCTGTTGCTGATAAAGGAAGTAATAAAGCTGTTGCTGAAAGCTTATGTATAAATTTTTAGTCTGGGAGGTGCTTCTAGTACCTTAAACAAGATTATAATAATACACAATTCAGTTTAATTTCATTCTCTATATCGCGATCTCTCACTGACTGCAATATTGTGATGCTAAGCATCCTGTTGAAGAAGGAAATTCCAGAAAAGCTTTCTCTATGAAATAGCAAACAGGACTTTATGAAGGCCATTAGATTTGCTCCTAACTTCTAACTCTTGCAGCAAACTATCTCAAAATCATCACAAACGCTGATTTACAGAGCAACTCAATCTCAAAAGGTGTGGGCAGTTACCGTCTTTAGCTTTAAATCCAAAGGCTTACTGGTTAATAAAATATTAAATTCTCAACCAAACTTAGGTCTTTAGAACTGTATGAGATTCTTTTTTACTTACCCAGTTGTATTATTACCAAATTTCAAAGCTGAAATTCCTAAGAAAGATTACGGGCATTTTAAATTAGGAATCTAATAAACAGTAAACTTTTCACAATAATCCTCAGTCAAAACACTAGTTAAAAATGATAACACTGGTAACATGAACAATATTTCTCTCCATCCTGTATGAAAATGAAAAAGAAGAAAAAGTTAGTTTTATACAACATATTTTGGTAATCCAAGGAAAGAAAAAAGCACAGGAAATCCACAGAAATCATATAATTATTTTTTAAAATACACTATTTTTATTTTTAAAATGTAAATAGAGGTTATGGACAATAAAATTATTTATATACCTTTCTCAATCATGAATAAAAGAAATAGGTAGAAACATTCTTTATTAAATCTTTGTTGAAACTGACAGGGATTAAAAGAATGAAGGTTAAAACTTATCCTCACTTACAACGGTCACCCCTGAAGCACCACTCCACCCTGCAGTCCCTTCTATTCCTCACTTTCCAATACTCAGTGACAAATTCAATTTTAGGTAATAATACAGCCTGCATTAGAGTAGGTCAGCTTTAGTGTTGTTCTAGGTTCCCTGACCAGGGTGATCAGTAGATCCAAGTATAAGCCGAATGTCAGAGCTCCTCCAAACCCAAATGCTGTATTTTTGTTAGAAGACTGAATCCAAACTATCCATTGGCACCAACATGGAAGACTGGGAAGGATGTGGAAATATAAAGAGTGTTGATTTTTTTTTTTTTTTTTTTGAGACAGAGACTCAAGTTGTCGCTCTGGGTACAGTGCCCTGGCATCACAGATCACAGCACCTCTATCTCCTGGGCTTAAGCAATTCTCTTGCTTCAGCTTCCCAAAAAGCTGGGACTACACAACGCCTGGCTATTTTTTGGTTGTAGTTGTCATTTTGTTTCGCAGTCCTGGGCTGTATCCGAACCTGCCAGCTTCAGCATATGTGGCTGGCACCCTAGCCGCTTTAGCTATAGGCACTGAGCCAAAAAGTGTTGATATTTTAACACATTATTATCTTTTCTAGTAGACCTCTGTTAACAAAAGTAAACATGCAAAGAGCAACATAAATATAAAAACAGTGTCTTCAGCAGGAAAGTACAAGTCAGATATAAGCTACTTACATGCAATTCCTAACCCTGTATATCCAAGGCATTTGATAAAATGTTAAAGACTCAGTTTCATTTAAAAATAAAACTACTGGGCAGCACCTGTGGCTCAGTGAGTAGGGCACCGGCCCCATATACCAAGGGTGGTGGGTTCGAACCCAGCCCTGGCCAAACCGCAACAAAAAAATAGCTGGGTGTTGTGGCCGGCGCCTGTAGTCCCAGCTACTCAGGAGGATGAGGCAAGAGAATCGCCTAAGCCCAAGAGCTGAAGGTTGCTGTGAGCTGTGATGCCATTGCACTCTACCGAGGGTGACAAAGTAAGACTCTATCTCTACAAAATAAAAAAAAATTTTTAAAACTAACAAGGGCCCGTATTAGCTGCCTATAAAAATGAAACAAACTGAATTCAGCTCCCCTCTTTTCCCTATGCTCCCCATTCCCAAACAAAATGCATTTATCATTCTAATACACACACACACACACAAATATATACATATATACACACACACATATATCTCAAAT